GCGGAAAACAAATGGCAGTACATTTGTATTTAAGGGATGTGATTTTCAAATTGATTGTCTGGCGTGTAATGTCTCGTGAACGAGCAGACGTCAGAGAAGAAAAACTTCAACAAAGAAGAAAAACACGTCGTACCACTCGTCTTCTACGTTGTCATTTCGACTTATCACGTTTTCAATTTGCACCCTTTTAAATCAAACCGATAGAAACTTGTTTTTCTATGTTAGATTTTTTTAATATGGGTATATTATAGTTTTTAAGGAAAAACTGTCAATTTTGAAGTACGTGATTGTCATATGTGTCATCTGTCAAGTGTCATGTGGACAATTTGTTGTCATTGGTTAATGGCAGCGTGAAATGAATCGAGGAGAGCTGTAGTGTAGTAGGGTAGAAAAGGAGTACATTATCATCGCTCCCCGTTGATTTCGACCTACTGGACTGCGGCAGGACACGTTTGCGTTGTCACTGTCACTCAATCAACCCCGCACGTCCCACGAACGCCATTCATTCATCCCGAACTGCGGTGGCGAGCGTCGAGCACGAAGGCCTCCACCACCACCACCACCCTGGTGTGTGTATGTTGTAACATGCCGGCTAATTATCGTAACCGGAACCAGGCAACCTCCGGCTTCAACCCTCGATTCCCGGCGCGCTCGTTCCGCCATCGCCGACATTGACAAACTGACAGTCGGCAGATGCTTTACGAGTTTATAATATCGTAATAGCGGAGGACCCAGGCGCGCCACGATCGTTCGCGTTAATGCATTAATTAACACCCTCGTTGCTCATTTATGAAGGTGGCGTAATGCGCTCACCCCAAGCGACGCATAAAGCTATGTGAACTGACACGGGAATGTCTTTCGAAGAATGCTAGACGGCAAAGATTTAGCATTTTGCTGTCAAGGGTTGAAAAGGGGAAAGGTTGAATTATACTAAACGTCAAGTTATTAGATAATAGATTACTGGTTATCTCTTGTTGCGTAAATGTCTCTGGATTGAGTAAAGCCGACATATTTATGAGATTCTTATAGTGAATCTAATACGAAGGTGCCCCGATATTATACGGTGACATTAATGAGGCTTTATGGAAATATATCCTCCAATATCTGTTGAGAAGCCGACATTTATCATAATTAAATGCGCTCGCGTCCGCCGCTTCCAACCGCTCTGACCTGCCGACGGGGTAGTTAAGGAAATGGCTCCTAATAAAGCCGGCATGCACGCCCGGAAGATCATATTGACGCTGCTAGATAAGGTGAAAATTGCATTCCTTATCCCTCATCACCATCGCAATAGAACTATGTAGTTGCTAAGCGATGTAAAATCCAACTTCCATTGAGTGTTTCTAAGTTATTCAGCAATTTGGAGTCAATGTATTTGCGTTCAGACTTCAGATCTGAGTTTGCTGATTCGCTCCGTCTCGATTTGATATCAAACCGTGGATAAAATCGAGTCTTCTTGTAAGAAAAGTGTTTACAAGTGTTTTTTTCGTAATGATATTTACGATTGTCAGGTGGGCGCAGCTTTTTTATACAAATCTCTTCGCTCGAGTTCGGCGAAGCGCATTAGTATCGCGTTTTTACGATTGTCGTCGAACATGTTGTTACGAAAATAATTCATGGTGCTATAAAACTCGGCTCTCGACTCGGATTCCGCGTTGGCCTTCGTCGCGAGTGTCGTTTATTTTAAGCTTGAGCATTTTGTGCACTCCAGGATTATTTATTTGTTATCGGCGTTTGATGGCGCTTGTAAAATCGAAATGCTCGTCCACAGCAGCAGCAGCAGTGCATCGCAGAATTTGTATAATAAAAGTTGAGATCGCTTGGCACTTCGCACTTATTTCATCCCACACGACGCAGTCAACTCAATTGGAATACATTTGCATGCCAATTTTTGTCTCGCACATCGTCAAATTGTTAATTTATTCTAAATGACAGAGGGTAACAACTTACTTAGTCACACCATCTTAATATGTTATTTATATACCTACCTTCTTTGTGAATATTTCACAGACACAATGTTTGTCAACGCTGGTGATAAATGACATAATATTGTAACTAACAATATTATTGCTTCTTTGTTGGATGATTTCCGCGTGTCGATGGTGCATGTAACATCTAGAGTGGTGCCATAAACGGCGCGCATGTTCATGTCTCTAGCGCGCTGGCAACACATTACAAATTTATTTGCTGTATTGCATCGATGCAATTAGTAGTGCCGTAGGTGTCCATTAGTATCGCACGCTATAAATTTATCGAGTCACACCCACATTGTAAACGGAGCACGACACGACGCGACTCTCCGGAGAGCTGAAACACGTAACTCTTATTCGCAACGTTGCAATTCAGAAGATAAAAAGTGTATTAATCGATTGAGATTTGCTACTAGATTGGACACCTACGAGTAGGTATCTACGTCTTATGTCTTAATTTATTAAATTACTTGCGAGTTGAAGCTTTCAACTGAAATTTTAAATGAATTCCGTTAAGTTATGTCTATTTTTTAATATTGAGTAAAATGTGGTTGTGGTTAAGTCTAAAGCGCAATTTATTTTGTGTGAAAAGTATGCGCCAAAAAGAAAATTTAAAGAAAGTTAATTCGCGGATAAACAAATAAATCAGCGCTGGATATATTGAGGCACTTATTTTAATGGAATGCCCACTCATTTATCAAAGTCGGGGCGCGCACTCGAAGCGAAGGCGGCGGCGGCAACGCGGCATTTCAGGCCGCGCTCTTCTCGCCTTGCGCGCTATATAAGAGAGACATAATTTATGAGGAAAGGAAATAGTTATTTCAATTTGAATTGGGTTTTTCAAATCGCCAACCGCCGCCCTGAAGCTTCGCCGAACGTGCACAAGCACTGCTCCTCCCTGCGAGTGGAAGAAATCGTCAGCGCTTTTCGTAATTAAGAACTCTAGAATGATCAATAGCGCGTGCCCCACACGACGAGGCGGATCCCGACGTGCCTTTCGTTGCGCCTCATTAATCCAGCGCGACGAGTTGCCCTTTATTAAAAGAAATTGAAGAAATATTGAGGCGGAGCAGCCGAGAGAGCAGTTGAATTTTGAAATCGTCGGATTGCTGCTTGTCGACGGCGTTAGCGTTAAAGTTTAATCAAGTGTCCCCGGGGGTGAGCTGGTGAGCAATTGAATTAACGGGCTGCCGGCGGAACGCGAGGGCGGAAACTCGTAAGTCGATGGGCGCCCATTACTCTTTCGCCGCCGAACAAATCACAGCTTTTGTCGCTCTATTAACAGTCGGGCAAGGCGCGCACCTTCCCTGGATAAACAATGCGCTGCCGTCAGCCGACGTCGAGTCGAGTACATTTTCGGGCACGAAAACGCATCAATCATTCGTTCGTTATTAATGCGCTGCGAGTCGGAACGATCGGCGTTTCCTCGGCGGGCCGTTGAAAGAGAACGCCGAGGGTACTTTGACTAATTATTCATTCTTTGCCTTGCCGACGTCGTGGCGTTTTCTTCGGGATGCAATTTAAATAAATTGCTCTCTTGCACACTGCGGCCAAGTTGATGATGATGATGACGCAGCGCAACGTCCATCGCCTTGGCCATATGGAGAAAGCAATGACTGGGATGAATGCATGTAGCGGGCACACCGCATTAACAATGCCGGTATGTGTGTTTAGGTTGCCTTTTCGCTTCACCACTCGCCTCTAGTTTCTGCAGAGTGCTTCAACTCCGCGCCCAAAACCAACCGTTTCCCCCCAGCTGCATCGCGCTATTTATTATTTTCGTAATCCGCTCGCAGCGGAATGACTCGCGCATTGTTGTGCATTAACTGTTTCGATACGGTATTAGTGTCGGTATAAACAAGTTCCATGCGTGAACACAATGCGGTGAACCCCTCGGTGCGATGATGACTGTGGACAACTTTTCAATACCCGACCGGACAAAAGAATCTAAAAACACTCCATCATCGGTCTCCAGCCAGTTTGATTGACAGATTCTATGAGTGTTACCGGTGCTACTCGCTTTTAATCGACTTTATTTTTGTTACATCCAATTCATTCTGACACATGGAAAATTGACTTTTTAACATTAGATTAAAACAACTTATCTCTATCCAACCGCCAAGTTTTAGCACAAGAAAGAAAGGTTTTGGAAGGTCGTGTAGACCTCCTGGAGCGTGACTTTCCGACTGTCTGGTACCTGAAAAACATGATTGACGCGCGTGCGAAATCGCCACGGCCCGCCGAATTAATCATGACGAATCGAAATGAAGCAGTATGCATGTGTTTACATTGTTTGATTAATAATGACATCCGTAAATAACGTTTCGCTTAATTTCCCAAAGAATGAGCTGTTAATGCGATGCGCGTTCCTCCGGCTGCATACGAATCGTATAATCTAAGCACATGTGCCCGCGATGATGATGCGCCGCGATGGATGGCTTGTAAAAGTCGGCGCGGCTTCAATTTGCCGCGTGCTTGTTGATGTTTCGAGCCGCGTCCTTTGATCTTTCTTTTGCCGGCGAGCGCGCTCCCCGACGATATCAACATCCGCACATCAATCTAATTATATGGGCCCGAACCAAGCGAAAACTAAGCGAGCGCGCCGCACACCACAAAGCCTCCGCTGATAAACGAGCCGAAACGAGCTAACTTTAGAAAACCAAACTGACATAAATAATACAAGTCGTGTCACAATATGTGTACATGATTTCTTGTGCGGGTGTGGACCAGGTGGAAGAAGAATAAAACCAATATCAGTAAAGTAAGCCCAGTAGTATCTATACAAATGTATAATTTTTAAAATTTGAATTTTATTTCAATATATTTGATTTAAACGTTCGCAAGATTGTTTTATTTATTGTGTTGGAATATCACGATGCAATCGTGCAGCATTTGCCCTTGTGGAAGGTGAACCGCTTGTTTATCTCTTATCGGCACTTGTTTTGCACGAATTCCGCACGATTCTTGTGCATTTTATTCTGTAAGTCGCGTTTGATTCGGTCGGTTGTTGATAGAATTTAATATAAACTTTTATATAAATTAATTGTAAATTTGTCACGCGCGTGTAGTAATCGAGAAACGCGAATTAAAATCATCGTTTGTCGTTTATTATCGATGAACGTTTTTATTTATAAACAATTCCTGTGTTGAGACATTCGACAAGTGTTACGCAATGGTTCAACTTCTCCCGAGGCCTGTTCTTGTGTTTGCAGCAGATTATCATCAAATAGGTACTGTAAATCTAATATTTTTGGGGTAGATAACTATAATTAACATAATTATAAAAACTGGATAACTAAAATTGTAACTAATCTAATGCTGGTGCATTAGACGTGGCTATTTATTCATTATCTTCACCAAGGTTGTTTAGGTGTCTTGTTTTGTACTCCAAGCCAATATTTTTTGTGATAATGATACCTCGAGTTGTTGATTTACTAATACTTTGCTATATTCTCACAACGCGCAATGCTGACGTATGTTAATACGTATCGCGAACAGATGTAAAACCGCAAAAAGTGAAGCAGCAGACAGTTCAACTTCATATTTAATTTCGTCCTGTCAGGGAAGTTTTATTGCTTCGGGTGTGCACTGGCGATGTTGGCGGCGGCGTGCCTCCTCCTCCATCTGCCGATGTCAGTGTACAGAGCAAGATACAGCCAAAGTTCGAACGTCGGAAATTGCGCGACGCCTTTGGCGCTGTTGAGCGTGTACACTTAATGCTCATGTCATCTCCTAATGCCTGGGAAAATTGGTAAAAGTTTGGACGCGTCCCGGAGAAAAATTCCGCATTTTGCCAATTTGTTTGGAAGCATATTAACAAAAAGAGGACGTCGCAAGTGGCAAGAAAAACAGAAACAATTAGTTGGCGTAGCATTTTGGCGTTTTATCTTTGAACGTAACCACTCGTAATGCCAGCTAATATCTTAAACAGAAGTGTAGCACTTGTGGACACGCGGTTCCTGAGCTGGAGAGAGCCTCGGACAGTGTCCAAAAATACCACAAGGAAAAACATCCAACGCGTGCTGCTTTACAGAGTATTATATTTTTATGGCGCGCTGTTATGGCAAGATGGTGTTCCAAGATGGCTGCGTCCGGAAAAGTAATATCGCGCCAGTAAGAAACAAATAAATGGCCCGTGCGCTCGTGGCCGGCTGCGGCAACGCCTGCCGTTTGCCGCAAAGGTAGCGTTATATGCGGACGCACATACGAGGGATACGAGATGATCACGGCGGGCGGTGATTTACAGCAGCGACAGCTGTCTCCGCGCGACATTCATTACCGCTGCACGGTAGGCAGAGTGGAAAGTTCATTTTTATGGCGGCGGCTTTAAATTTTAAATGTCCTGACATTCGTATAATCCGATTTCTGCACTTCTGCATTTCTGCATTCTTCTAGGGATATAGGTATTATTAGATACAGCCATGTTGTGAATTTATTTCATCGTTATCATAGACAGTTTTTACGATTATCGCGGAAACTAAAAGCGACAGCAACCAACAAATTAAAGAATCTTAATCTACAGAAAATTCTGTATAAGATAAGATAATGAAAAGTAGGTATAGGTATATTTCCAAGGGTTAAGGTTAAAAATTGTAACTTAAGTGCAAAACGAAGCGCTTTTTAATGTTTTTCCCAAATTTTGGCAAATATCGCATAAACTAAACGCGATAGAGAGGATCAGATTAAAGATTCTTAATCTACGAGAAATTCTCTCCAAGATGAGTCATTCAAATCATAATAATAAAAATAATAAAACTTAACAAAACATATTTAAAAACGAAGAAATTCTTCTTTTTCATTTGTCAATGATCGTAGAATGATGTAGGCGTTTCCTAGCAGATCCTGACCGCCCTTAGGTTCATCTTTCCAGTAGATTAATGCGTTTGTGGTCGACGGAATAAGAAGTGCATTTGATTCAGAACTCGAAGGAAACTGACCCGTTGGTCGCTCCTCAATGCGCTCTTTTATCCTGAGGCATCCTGGCATCCAATGCTTTCCGTATGTATAAAATGTGCCGAAGCACTGTAAATTTTCCTATATTCGCCGTTCGTGTCATATGGAATGGGGCAGTTTTCTCGGAACCTAATGGTTATTGCCTTCGCCCCAAAACGGACATATTGCGTTCCATCTAGCGCAATGTGTGCGCGCAATATATCAACGGATATGCGCGGTGTGGTTTCTACACTCCACCGCCAAGACATTGCATAGTTCTTGTTCTTCTAGTATAACGCAAAGCATCTATATTTGAAAATGTATCTAAACACTAGACCGTTGATATTGACTAGTTTGTTTGAAGGTTTTCCATAGGTGATTTGCTCATTCGGAGCACGTTCCGCTCGACCACCGAACACTCACGATTGTGGTTAGTTGTGGTCAGCGGCTTCCGGCCTACGACCTTTGCAATGGTCGCGGTTATGTGCCGCGCACTGCCGTCCGGATCCCTCAAACGAGCGCCAATTTAACTAAATCCCTCACAAAGAAGTCATGTTTAAAGATAAGATTGGAAAAGTTGAAAGCGCCAGCGCTGTGGACGAAAGTTATGTTGCCATAACCGTTTATTGGGCGATAGGGAGGTCAATAATGTAGCTTACAACTGTCTTCAAACATAAAAGAACTACATGGCAATTTCGTTCCGATGACGACGAATCGAATCGCATAGCAACGGCGTCGGGTTTCGAACTTTGCGAACCACGGTTATTTTACTATCGGAATTGCAGATAAGGCGAATTTAAAAATGTCCGATCCGACCTGAATCATGGACACTTTCAGAGCTGCTTCTTCCTGTAGGTACCTAATAGTAATAATATGTGCCATCGAGGACATTTTCCTAGTTCTTCTGTTTTATATTCAATAAATTAAATTGATTGTTTATTAAAAGTCTACAAAAATAATAAATTTTAAAACAAACAATAAACTTAAACTGGTTTGCGTTCTCTTTGAGATTCTCCATTGATCCACTCGCCTTCGTAATTAACGAATAGATTTTTCATGTCCAGTATGACGTTTCAGATGATTTGTTGGTCTTATCCGCGCTCGGGGATAATCTGCGCTCTGTTATGCGTCTATAAATCAGCTCTCAAAGATCCGAAGAGGCTAACACGCTCGCGCTTACAGCAAAGGCAGCCGCGTGAGCTTTAAATCACGCCGCGCGGAAAGTACATAAGCTATCATTCAGCCGGATGCGGAAACTATTTTTCATCGGCAACAGCCATTACGACCGATTTAGTACTTAGTCGAACACGCCGCTTTAATATAAAAGGTAACGCGGTTGAATAATTCCACGATTTATTATGAGTCCAGCCGTCCGAAAAACACGCCACCGATCGAAAATTAGACGTTGCCGCCTCCACACTTGCAGCGTGCGACTGTGGGAGTGATTATTTGTTTTCTATCGTGGATATACACTCGCGGTGATGGAGTATGGCCGTGTGATATAAATGTGTTTCCAGTCGTTCGGGACAGAGTCGATTGGGCAGTCGTAGCCGGCGAAACGTTTGCCGGTGGCGGCGGCGGCGGCTGGCCGCAGCGGGCGCAGAGTTTAGGCACGTCAGCCGGTGAATAATGCGCGCGTTCCGTGCCACGCCGTTAGGCAGATCAATCTTTGTCGAGTTGTCGGGGCGCGCCGCGCCGCATGCCAATCCACCGACTTGATTTACACTCCATTGTGAGCAAGACACTCCATTTCCATAATCCGCCTCTGGAAATTTACGTTCGAAATTTTAAAAACATAATTAACACTCAGGTTGTGGACGAGTTGCAACAGCTCGGTGTGTGCAACTGTGCAGCCGCTATAAGTTACGGGCCTGTGATAATAAAGAACCGCTGTGCGCCGCCACCACCACCCGGACGTTTATCCGGTATCGCGGCTTTGTTAGTTGAAAGGCTACAAATGTAAAGCGCTTATCTCGGAGGCGAAAGGCGAGAGAGCCACTTCCGTTCGCGTCGCCGGTGAGTAATCGCCGCCTGCCACCGACCTGCCGCGCGCCGCCGCCTGTCTGCTCTTCCGCCGTCCGCGTCCGCCGCCCTCCTAACCTCGTCAATTCATCTTCTCGCCTCTTATCCCCGCCAACACTTCTTTTTCACTACCAACATGCACTTTTAACCTCACCTAACCTAACTTATAACCTAATGTAATGTCGAATGTAAAAAGTTATTTGTAATAAAAAATATATTACACTGTGATGATGACATGACATGACGCGTACAAAAGGAACTAATGTTTGCATGTTTTTCCATCGCATGCCATTAATGGCGCTTCGTTCCGTTTGACTTGTCATTAAATACAGCGTTTGCGTCGTCGTTTTTCTCTCCTCTTCGCCCTCCGACCATATTTATATCAACTAATAATGATTGAAATGCAATGATTGAAAATGTCACAACGTAATGAATATAAATGCGAACGAAATGCAGCTTTAATAAATAACTTTTGTGTGCTGTGTGTTGGTTGTTGAGTTTTTTTTTTCTCTTTCAACTCGTTCCATTTCAACTACATTTCTCTTGATTTACGTGCGCTAGTTTTGTGTGTGCATGAACACACAAACACCGCGGGCGGCGACTGCATCTCTCATATAATAACATGTCAAACGCAAACCACCGAATCAAATTATATATTTCATAATAATCAAAAGTGCCCGCGAGCATTTTGCGTCCATTTGTTACGCTGGCGCGCTCGTTGATGTGTCCAAACGAGGACCGTAGAGACGTTCGCATTAATAATAAATTAATCAGTAATTAATGACAAGTGGAACCGATTAATCCAATTTAAGTGTGCGGCCGAGTGGCAGCAAACGTGTAATTTGTATGTTTGCCCATTACCTGTGTAACCCATTCACACACACAAACATTCATCCGACAGAGGAGTGCCTCCAACCAAACTCATTTGATTCCCAACTGACATGCAAACAGTCTATACAGTGTGTCTTTTACAACGCACAAACAAAAATTTAGTTTAATCCACATGCGTATAGAAAGAATTTAAATGCTGTGTATATTCCACACGCGGATTGTAATTAATTTCCATAAAAGTTAATCTCTTTATAATTCAATAGCTCCTTGGTGCTTGTAGTCCATAGCTGATTTCTTCTTGTGCTTCGTTATGATCGTGCTTCTTTTCTTGGTAGCGCTACGCGTCGTGCCGATAGAGTTATTCATTCAATTCGATAGCAGCACAAGTGCTAGCGAATGTTTTACCAGCGTGAATGCGATGATGAAGTGGTTGTCCGTGTGCGTT